CTTCGTGAGACCGAAAACCCAGGGTTAACCCTGAAGTTACCTCGCTAAGACAAAATCCTGCTTCGTGATACAGGCCCCAGGTCTTGGTGGCCATCCAATGGCACAATAGTGTAAACCTCACCTGCTGGGAAACTCTGGTTCTCAATCTCCCCTTCGGGCTCATGTGGAATCTGGCTGGACTGCTCTGCACAGCCACAGTTTGGATATTTACAAAATGTCCTCCCTGTTTGTGTTTCTCAGGGGTGAAACCAAGATAAAAACCAAATTAAGCCACATGACAGAGCGTATGGTGGACTTGTTCCACCCAGAATAATGTATGCCTCTGTTTAGAAATCCCTCATTTTCATCCTTCGCCGATGTTTCCAAAGCAGTGTAACTAATCTCTTTAGTGTGAATTGCCTTTTTTTCACACGATGAAAAAATAGTATTAAAGGGTAATTTTGATATTTTTTTAAACCGGGCCCTATTTTCCCATGTTTTGGTGTCTAAATAATGGGAATAACAGTTTTTAAAATTGGCACAGTATTGAGTAAGAGCACTGCAGACAGCAGCCATGAAACAGGCTGCACTGTAACCACTCTGGGCATTTGGCACTGTTAGTTTTTGTCCACTAAAAGTGCTTGTTTTTACCTTTGACAGGCTCAAATTATCATTCTGAGTGTCAGCCAACATTATGAAAAGGATCCCTACAGAGATAGACCATTTTGTTTACGAGTAAGATCCCTTTTGTTTAATCAGGAACAGCTATAACATCACCACCGCCATTCCACCCGACTCCACTTTAACATACAGTAATTTAAGCATGTATGGAGCCAATATATTTGTCCATCTAAGCTGAATTAAGGGTTTATATCAACCAAACCAGATTTGGGGAATGTTAGAGCAGTAAAAAGATTAACCAAGATGCTTTTTGTGAGTTTTATTTTGTTTCTGGAGTCTGGTGGGTTTTGTGAGTTAGCAATTAGGAGGCTGTTTCTGATAAATGAAAAGGTCATACTCTGTAGCAAAAGTTGTCAGACACTTAAAATAATATTCTGAGCCTGTCAGTGGCCAAAACAAGCACTTTTGATGGGAGTAAATTGATGGTGCAAAGATGCCCTGAATGGTTACTTTGGAGTCTGTTTAGCTCAATACTGGACCAATTTTAAAAGTTGTTGTTCCCGTTAGTCACTTTGATACAAAAACATGGGTAAATAGCATCCAGGTTGGAAAAATACCAAAATTTACCATTTAGAATAATTTATTGTAGCCGATAGGGATTGTGAGTTTAAAATCTGAAACTGAAACTGAGCTGGCTCAAAGCTCACTTATATGCAGGACTTTCACAGTACCTTTGAAACTTACTATTGCAGCTTTATTATGTTATCTGAAAGTGCTTCTGCTGTTAATAAACATGGTATGACACAAAGACAGTTAGGGGCTAACTGGTTAAATCTGTTAGCAGTTGTTGAGCTTGCGTGCTTCGGAAAGGCTGATTGGTGGCGTTATGAAATAAATTGTTGCGTGAAAGGGAAGTGCCATAAGGGGAAAAATGTCATTATAAAAGAAACATTTTTTAATGCTTTCCATAGTTATATCATGATTTACATGATTTTGAAAAAACAATGCACACAGCTATGACTCTTAATTTAACAATGGACCTGCCAAAGTTCAATATGTGTGCAGGTTTTAATATTACAGAACATTCAGATGTTTGCTGGGTCAAATGTTAGAATTAAAGACTTACACTCACTATGTTAAAGAAGTATTTCACTCCATTTCACTCCACAATTTGTGCTACATGACCAGAGAAAACACAGAAAAAGGGGCTCTGGAATTAGCTTAAAGGGTAGAAAACCTACAGTTACCAGGATGCACTGCGCCGCACAGGACCGATAAATGCTCCTAATGGTGGGTTATTAATGCGAGCTTGAGCTGTTTTTTTCACAGGAAACAATATGGCGGTTAGCCGGTAACAAACAATCTTGTATTAAAGTTAAACAGTAAGCTAAAATATGTTTCTGAAAACACTTAAGGTGAGAAATAGGTAACCCACTGACTGACTAATTTTACTGTTTGATCTCAGTATACATTGTGGCACCCACCTCTGGTCCAATTCTTCTTGTATTACAGCTAAACAGTGTACTAAAATATGTTTTTTAAGACATTTTTGACAAGATATAGGCAATACAGTAACATAATCTTGGTTTATATGTGATCAACACAGCCTATGTTTACAGTTTGACCTGAGTTTGGTCAATCAATCAATCAACATTTATTTCTATAGCCCTTTACAAAACCCAAAGGTACCCAAAGTGCTTAACAACAATGTCAAATAACAATGAAAGTACATGAAGTACCAAACAGAACAGAACAGTACAGAAAAGAAAAACAATGGAAAGTGTGACAGTGCTATAGGGTATTAAAAGCCTTTCAACATAGATAAAATACATTAAAACAGAATAAATAAACATAAAAAAGGATAGCCCTAGTCGGAATTAAAAGTCATTCTAAAAAGATACGTCTTCAGCTTAGATTTAAAAAGACCGAGATCAGTAGTGGTGCGAATGTTTGGTCTGAGTTTGAGAGAGGGGCCGGTCGCTCTCTTGATCCGCTTCTATACTCTTTGTATCCACGGTGGCGGGCACACCAAGATGTAGAAATGCAATGTGTAGTTTGAGTAAAGTCCTTAGAGCCAGAGATTTGAGCAGGGAGATCTGTGTGCTGGGAAGATGGGAGAAGGTTTACCTCAGTTCATTTACACATAGTACCCACATTGTTATGATTGAAAAAGTTGGTTGTAAATTGGCAAACTGTCCCTTTAAGGCAGATGCATGCTGGGACACAAAAGCTCAAGTTTCTCATGCAGGAAAAAAAAGCATGCTTTTTTTTTGATGTGCAGATTTGAGTGAAATATCAATCACAGACTCAAAGCAACTAATTACTAAGCCATTATTACTCTCAGAACTTGTCCACCAACCCGATATATAACAGTTGGAGGGATGGGTAGGGATGTACAGGCCCGGGAGGCCTTTGTGTACAGTAGTTGCAAGTATAACAGCTGCACCCTCGGATTACATTTAAGTCTTTAAGACGTGGGGTTATAACAGGCTTAAAGTGTAGAATAACAAACACTGGCCTGTCAAAAAAAAAAAAAACCCAACCAACCTGTTTTTCACAAACAAAAAAGAAGCGCCAAACTTCATTCATCATTCTGCATCAGATTGACTCGCACTCAGGATTTTCACATGAGGTCATCTTATCGCTGCAAGATGAAACTCTCTTGTGGGTGTAACTGAGAAGAATTTGTAAAGTACTTTTAACAAGTTCTGTCATACGGTGCACCACAGGACCTATAAATAGAAGAAAAGAGGCTGAAACAAGACAAAGCAAACTTTAACAATGTTGGCCTGGACCACCAGTCTGTGATATGTCAGCAAACAGATGGGAGTTTGCAGAGATTGAAAGTGCTTTCTGTGTGCAGAGTGCACACAGCAGGCAGCTCAGCGTAGCATTAGATAACAGGTTACGCAACAACACTTAAACTCGACTCTGTTGCTACATGTAGATAAAAGGAGGCGATGGGTGTGTTTGGCCTGGATCATGCCAAACTGCAGTGAGGACTGTGCAGGATGGCAGGTGGAGAGCTGTTGAGGTTTACCCACTGAGCTCACTGCCAGATTGTCAATATGACCAATAGTATGTGGACAGATAATTATTCGTATTTATACCTTGACTCGAACTAGAAAACATGACCACATCACACCGATCCTGGCTTCCCTACACTGGTTACCTGTTGCTTTGAGAATTGATTTTAAGATTTTATTGATTACTTCCAAAGCCCTGAGAGGCTCCAAGTAACATAACTGATCTTTTATTGCCCTGTGTTCCGTCTCACACCCTGAGATCCTCAGATGCATCTTTTCTTGTTGCTCCAAGGTCTAGTGCTGCGAACCCACTCTCATCTTTTAAATCACGTCTGAAAACCTATTTGTTTAAAACTTGCCTTTCGGTGATTTTAACTGCTTTATTATTATATTTGATTTTGGTCTCTGCTTGTTTTTTACTGGCTTGTGCCCCTTAATTCCAGTTCAGTCAGACTTATTTTTTATAGTGGAAAGAATATTTGCTAACATGTGCACATAAGTGAACATATGAAAAGTCTTTTGCGATTAAACCCCATGGAGATGGCATATTTTAAGGACGGTGATGAACCCATAGTTGAACAGGGAACCCTCCCCACGGGGTCTAGATGCTGAAGTGGTGAAGATGAGATGAGAGGAAGATGTGGAGAGGATGGAGAAGTGCTGATGATCAGGATGAGTAGAGGACTCTGGATACGATGGCTGGAGGTGAACAGGGTGGAGGAGGGTGCGACAATTCTGCCTAAAATGACAGCTGATGGCAGCAGAGGAGAGAGCAGATTTAAAATTTTGCAGTAGTGTCCCGATTGGCTGATAGAGACTGTGGGCGAAGTTTGATTGGATAACTAGAAGAGTGAACCCCATAGTCAGCTATGGGGGGAGAGGGGGAAAGACTTGTGAATGAATGAGCACAAAGAAAGTCTTCCTGGTTGAACTTAGGCTGAGCTTCATTTCAAGAAAGTCTCAACGATATTTTCGACAAAAACAGTTTTGTGGCACCAGTTTGGGGAAGGACTTGAAAACCAATTTTTTTTTTTTTACTAAATGCACTTATTTGTTTGCTACAAAATAATGTAACTGTGACAACAGTGAAAGCTGACATATTTACTGTGATGGATAGCCTCAAGCACCAACTGATTTTCATATAGCAGTAACATGATGGGGAAACAACGGCAGCCCAGAGGGGGTATAAAAATATGAATGCACTGGAACATACATGTCGTCCTTTAAAGCTGAACCAGGCTACACACACACAGGCGACTGTGCGGCATCACCTTTAGAAAACTTGAGATTTCGAAGGACTCTGATAATTATTTTTCCAGACACAACAGATAAACACAAAGTGGTTAATAATCTGTATCTGCCATGTTCTTCCAGGAGGAAGAGGAGGTGGAGGAGGAGGAGGAGGAAGACGTAGAAGAAGAGGAAGATGGGGAGACAGTGGAGGTGGAAGAGGTGGAGGTTGTGAACGTCATACAGCAGAGGGCAGCACCGCCACCGGCAATAGAGAAAATCTCCAGGACGGAGGTGAGAACCGAGGTGAGGGAAGTGCCCCAGCCGGCTAAGATGGACACGCGTTACTTCGGCGAGCTGCTGGCCGACGTCTACAGGAAGAACTGCGACATCCACTCCTGCATCTCCGAGCACGTGTCCAAGATCCGTGGAAAGTAAGTGCATGTGCATGAAAGACATTTCGCTGAAGTTCAGCTTTCCATTTCACTGTAAATTCTTTTTATTGGACAAACACAAGAATAGCCATCTCTCTAAACACTGAATAACAGATTATTATGTGATGATGTCATTCAGTCTGGTTTTACAATCCTGGCATATACAGTAGGTTAGTTGATCCCTAGACAACAGCTGTGGGATATAGTCATGGAGACAGACGCTGGGTTTAGTGGTTTGGATTAGCATCATTAGCAACAGGCTGGAACAGGTCAAAGGCGAGTCCTGGTCGGTTTCTTTCTCTTGTAATTACTTAATGTTTATACTTCACCTGCAGACACAGCAGGTGCCATCAGTGGAGACAAGGGAACGAAACAAAAGAAATTCTAGGAAATTTGTTACTCACGGTAACCTGTCTTTAACCCTATAGTGCAGTTTTACTGAGAAGTGGTATGATCAGTTCTGGTAGTCATCTATTTCCAGTCCAGACACGGTTACATCACCTGAAAAATCCTGCATGAGAGAAAGGGAGGAGGCCGTGAACTGTAGGTGGTTGCGGTGCAGCCAATGAGAGCGAGATACACCTCAGAGCTGCAGTATGTGAACGTGAGGTTTTTGTCCATGAAGTTAACGCCCAGTTGATTCATGTGGCATCATCAGTGTGTGTGTGTGTGTGTGTGTGTGTGTGTGTGTGTGTGTGTGTCAGAGAGATTAGACCTTAATCCTCCTCCAACTTTTCACCAGTCAGTCAGTTAGTCATCTATGACATGTGAGCCTCCAAAAAACTCATTATTTCGTGACATTATTTCCACCTCTTTGGGTGCTGTTCTTTAGAAACTACAGTGGCCATGTATCTCAACATTACTCAGCCTTTACATAGAAATATACGTCATATTTGTGAATCATTTAAAAAGTTTTACATCTCCAGTAGAGAGGCATTGACTAAGACAAGAAGAATGAAGAACAATACCAGCCTTGTGCTATAATAAAAATATGTTTCTATCAATATTTATCATTAAAGAAATGTATTCAGCATGACATAAGACTGGACATAAAATGCTATGAACTGTGTCAAACTTTGTAACTCTGTACCTAATTCTTTCCCCGAGCTTAATTTAATGTCTGAGCTACAATAAAGATTTTACCACTGTGTCACAATGTGACTCACTCTCACTCAGTTTTCTCCAGTCATGCTGCCGTCCTCATTGTTGCTCTTTCCTCTCTGTGTGTTACAGGAAACACCAGCTGGACCCCAGCAATGACTACAAGGTGAGGAACAAACCTGCATCACGCACATCTGAGAAATAAATCTGTGGTTAAAGTCGATGTAGAGCCTGAAACTTCATCCAAAACAATATAAAACCAGGGTCTTCAATAGGAGGCTCACAAGCCCTAGGGAGCCCCCAGAGTTACTGCAGGGGGGCCGCCAAATTACTGCTGTCAGCAAAGATAAATTGGCCTGTCTAAAAAAATTAATTTACAGGTACACAACATTAATGATAGGCTAACAGTTACCCAAGAATCCTTGTGCAATCATTTGTGCTAGCTTATGCTAAATCACTGTGCGGCACCGATCCATAATGGCGGTGTGGACTAGTTGCCCAACATTTATGTACTATTAAAACACACAGGCCAATTAGCTGTATTATTATTTCACATTCTTGTGAGCCACAACGGGTGGCTTTATAATCTTCCAAGTAAGAGACTCTGCACTTTCGTCAGTCTCTGGGGTGGACGATGTGTCAGAGGGTGAGGCTAACACACCTAGACATGCTTCATCTGCCGCTGACTGAGCAGCTGCAGGCAAGTGCAAACAAGAGAAGACCCGGAAATATTAAGAGTATTATTTAAAGTGCAACTCAGTTGTGCACAATATATGTAGAAGGGAGTCCCTGATCAGTCTCCTTTTCAACTAAGGGGTCCTCGGCCGAAAAACTTTGAGGACCCCTGGTCTAAACATTCAATATTAACTGTCAGAATCACGGCAAATCTGTGGAAATAATTCAAAGTAAAATGATCATCTTCATCCCTTTTTTCTTTTTTCTTTTTTTTAACCAATGGTTTTATTCATTTGCTTCTATTTTGTGTGTGTGTGTGTGTGTGTGTGTTCAGGTGGAGAGAGAGGAGGTGGAGGCTTTGCTTCCTAAAGGAGCCACTGAACTGACCAAACAGCAAATCCGCTACCTGCTGCAGGTGAGTGACAGACAAAAAGTCACTAAATTAATGTTTAATTGACCAGAATATGACAAACTGTACTGATAGACATTTACTGTATTTATATCTGATGTTATGCAGACTGCGTGTTCATATTTAACCATTTACCTTCATTGTTTTTGGTTTAAAACAAAACTGTCTTCATCCTAAAGGGCTGATATTTAGCAAAAAATGGTGCTAACAGCATGAACAGTGCTAACAATGGCAGTGGACACCCCAAAGCTAATGATGTTAATTTGGAGGGGCGAAGGGAGGGTGGCGTATGAGTGCATAGAGCGGCGGCAATCAGCTTGCCAGTTGGATACACACAGGCAGGGAGTCACGTGCACACAAAGAGGGAGCGTTACTTCATTCTCTGCTCAGCATGCCATTACTCCGCTATATTTACATAGCATACATTGGTTTGCTGCTATATTAATGCTCTGAATGTTATATATAGAGCTCCTTTAATTTGAACTCTCCACAACATTACAAGCAACTAACACAAGAGCTTCAACCATTTTAATCAGTTTTTAAAATGTTCTATTTTCTTGCTCTACTTTTATCCACTTAACGTGTGTTTTTATGCATTTATGTGTTTGTCTTTTTATCTGGTAACACATTATTAAACACCCCAGTGTATAAACACTTAAAAAATGGCTCATAATACACATTATCCCAGTGTTATGTAGTTGATTGCAACATGCTGTAATGAGCTTCGTCTCTTATCTCTGTTGGAAATGACTCCAGTTATTCCTCAGAAATGTGTTGTGTGGCTAGATTAGAGCATGACAGTGAACCCTCCCTGGCGCTAAACCATCTCTCTGTTTGTGTTTCTCGGTCAGACTCGTCTCACTGCAGATAAGAGCATGCGTCTACTGCTGTCCACCTTCAGCAGTCTGAGAGAGGAGCTCCTCCACATGTCCGAGGACCTGCGGGTAAGAGGAAACGTTTCTGTGTGGCTAAGAGACGCTGAAGTAGTAAAACTGTGTCCTAGTTTTGGACACTCCTCCTTCTGTGTAGGCCAACCACTGACTGACAGTAGAAAATAAACAAACACATTGCCAGCATACCAATCAGATGATACTAAACTTGGCTTCCACAATTCTCTACATGACGAGCAACACGACCAAAAAGAAACATCACAAAAATGTGTGAGTTTAAAAAAAGAGAAAAAAGCTTTATTATCTTGTTGTAGGATGTGTTATTTAGCTCTGATTGCAGGTATCATAATCATTTATTCAAGCAAAAGTACTAAAATTCTGAGTAAAAATTTTAGTTACTCCTAATTTCATCGGATTATTATTGCTAATTAATTTGTCTGGTGGGTCCTCATCCATGGAGTATGCTATGTTGCACTGCCATGTTTCTACTGTAGCCCAGAATGGACAAACCAGACACTGGCTCTAGACAGGGCCATTCCAGTTTTCATTTTGTCCACTGTAGTTGGCAGCCTCTCTGCTATGAGCAGAACAGCATAGGAAAAATGATGATTTTTAATGTGAAACTGCTTTATTCAGTGTTTTTACAGGTTTTAATTACCTGGTCTGTTTGTTTTAGAGAGGAAGAAACCTCTATGGATAATTTGGTGCTTAATTTAAAAAAAAGAAAGAAAAAAAAAAAAGAAAATTGTGATCATCTGGATCTTAACTTATCCGAAGTCAAAAGTGAGCAAATATTAGCAGGTTTTAATAACCTTGTCCGTCCATGTCTTTTTGAGATAATTCGGCTCCCGTTAAAAACCTCCTGAACAATGAACACTGAAGGAATCCTAATCAGTGGTTCACGCTTGGCACATGGGAGAAGTTTTAGCAGGTTGTAATTTGTAATCCTCATCACTAGATGGCACTAAATCCTACACATTGCTCCTTTAAATTAGTTATTATATTATAGATTTTTAAATTCCTCCTTTGCACAGTAAATGATAACTTAAACTGTCAGATAAATGTAGTGGAGTAAAGGAATGATAATCCTATGAGAACTACCTCACAATTGTACTAACTGAAATTTACTAATCTCTTTCCACCAGATATTTCAATAATAAACTTAATGTTATTACTGATATCAGAATTCTGGTATCAAGGCACTGTTATTTCCTTGTGGAAGGTGACTCTTATCGGCCTTTTGTCCCTAACTTCCTGCTCCTAAAAACTGATTTGTTCATGTGTAACTCCTGCACAGTTTCAAAAGCCTCACTTTAAATTCACACTGTGAAAATGTCGATAGAAAATTAAACAGAAACAGACATTAAATATACTTTAATGTATCCGAACAAAAACAGGATTACAACCTCACATGAATAAAACGAGTACATACAAACTCAGATGAACCTTGAAGCTGTGACAGGTCAGAAAGGTACGTCCCCATAGTGCATTGTATAAGCTTGTCACAATGGTGTGAACATATTAAATGCTTTAAATCACAGGCGTCAGGCGAGATGTAACAGCTTATTATTGTCAGCATTGATGCGGCGTGGTGGAGACATATTTATTGTGTGCTTACATTCCTGAAGAGAAACAATTAGCTCACACAGACAAAATGCAAATTGTATTCTGTTACTCAATCTTTCCCAATAAAAAGACATAACACAATAAACAGTCACCCAGTTCCTCCCTCACATGACCTGAGGAAAAGGGAGTCAAAAAGTACAACAATCAGCAATAAAAGACAAGAAATCATGAGGAACTATGTGATTAATGTGCTTATAAACATGAGAAAATATTCCAGCGTATTACTGTAAACATAAAGATGCGTCTGTCTGTCTGTGGTCACAGCGTCTGGAGAGCGAGAAGGAGGGTTTGGAGAGAGATCTGAGCTTCAAAGCCGACCAGGCTAAGCAGTATGACTGCCTCCTGGAGGCCGTGCGAGAAAAAAACAGACAGCTCCAGGTACAGTGCACCTGTCTGTGTGTGAGAGTGTGCATTTTTGGTCAAGTCAGTGATCAGGGTATTGATGTTGTAACTGTATTAACTTGTTTTACTGTAGACTAAAAAGCCTTTCAGAACTTGGACCACACTAGCATCTGTAGAAGCACAAAAACTAGACACAAAACTGAAACATGATCAGTGAACACGCTGATTTCAGTTTTTTGTGTCTTAAAGGCACATGTAAGCAACAGAAAGCTGTGTGTCTAACCTGGGTGGATGGTTTGAAACCTGTCTGATCATCTGACTGTTTGAACACCTTGCCATGTCCGACTTCTTTTTAGTGAAGACAGACTGAGAGAAAGGATGGGGGAAGAGAGGGAGAGGAAGACACAGAGGGAGAGCAAGCGTGGTCAGTGGTTACCGTAGCAACTTAAGTTTACTGTAATGGTGGCACTCGTCCCCCTCCAGGTGTCCCTGAAGGAAACCACGGCCACCCAGCGTTCCCTGGAGAGCCAGCTCCTGAGCAGCAAAAACAACAACTCGAGCCGCGACTTCAAGATCAAAGAGATGGAGGGGAGGATGAGGGCGCTGGAGAAGGAGAACGAGATGCTCCGACAGAAGGTAACACACCACCTGTCTCACCCTCACCATGTGTGTCGAGATCAGTGTAATCAGGTCACTTGAAGCCTTGTGGAGCTCCGAGCTGTCTGAAGTTTGGCAGAGTCTTGATGATGCAGGTGTAAGGACTCATGCTGAGACCGTGTAGAACAGAGTAAAAAGCACCTGAATGATGAACAGCATGTTGATGGTGGATTGGAACAAGGTGCAGGTCGCCTGCAGCTCAAACCGTTTGGCACTTTGACCAGTGGCTGCGGTTACAGTTTAATATACACGCCAGATTTTTTTCTTCTTCATGATATAAATCAATCCAAGTGAGGATCCAACATGTTGTTTCATGATCGCTGCAGAGAAGAATCAAGTTTCCACCTTCCAAAGCCAATAGTCAAGAACAGAAAGCCTGTCTTGCACGAAGACCATTTGAGACTGTTAAATGTGGAGGAGATCAAAAGATAAAAACAGTGAGGCAGGCAGTCATGATGATGATGGTGATGTTTGCTCTTCCTCTCTGCGTCCTGCAGCTGGCAGGCCAAGGCAGCAGCACCACCCTGCACATCAAGACAGAGGAGCTGTCCCGTCAGTACAAAGACCAGCTGAGCTCCATGAAACAAGAGAAGGACGCAGAGATCCAGAGGCTCAAGGTGATGATCACCTGTCTCCCCCCTTCCCACTTCCTCTCTTCCTCTCTCTGTCACCCCTCTCTTATTCCCCCTCCTCTCTATTCCTCTTCCCTCCTTTTGCTTCCTCACCCTGTCTCCCCTCTTCTCTCTTCCCCTCATTCTGTCTCCTCCTCTTCTCTCTTCTTCCCCCGTCTCCCCCTCCTCTCTCTTCCTCTGCCTCCTCCTCTTCCCCCCATCTTCCCATTCCTCTCTCTTCCACTCCTTCTGTCTCCCCCCTCCTCAATTTTACACTCTGGCTGTCTCCCCCCCCCATCCCCCCTCTTTCTACTCTTCCTCTCTCCCTCCTCTGTCCCCTCTTTTCTCTCCCTGTCTCCTCCTCTCTCTTCTTCTTCTCCCTCTGTCTCCCCCTCTCCTCTCTATTCCTCTTCCTGTCCCCCCCGGTTCCCCCCTCCACTCTCTTCTCCCTCCATCACCCCCTCCCCTCTTTTCCTATTCCCCTCCCTCCATCTCCCCATTTGTCCCCCCTCCTCTCTATTCCTCTCCCCTCCTCTCGCTTCCTCTTCCTCTGCCCCCTCCCCCTCCTCTCTTCCTCTCCCGCTGTCCCCCATTCCCATCCCTTTGCCCCCCCATCTCCCTCCTCTCCCCCTCCGTCCCCTCCTCTTTCCGCTCTTCCTCCTTTT